GCGTAATAATTTTCTTTTATTTTCTTAAAAAATATAACAAAAACAAGAAGGAAAAATATTTGCTTAAATAAAAATTATGATAAATTTAAATTAATTAATACATAATTTTATATTAGGTTATTAATAAAAATATGAGCCAGTGCCTTATTATATAAAATAATTTTACTTTGCCAAAAAGAAATTGTATAACTTTGTTTTAAACAGAAATTATAGTAGGTAATAACATATATTTTTATTATTGTTAAATAGTAATAGAAACCACATACCTTCTATCTATGCTTATTGTAAAAAAAAAAATCATTTTTGTAATACCCAGACCCGAAATTTAGTCCGAAATTAATTTTAAAATTAAAAAAATATGAAAAAATATAAATTTTAAATTTATAAATATTTATTTAATATAAAATTAGGAAAAAATAGGTGGACAATGAAATTAAAAATAATTTTGAGAAAAATGGGTAAAAATTTGGGTTCGGAGGGTATTTTGAAAAAAAAATTACAAACTAAGGGTCAAAACATAATTAAAAAAATTTGCGCCATGTAGGACCGCTCAGTCAACAGTCCCGACGAATTGGAGCATGCTGCGTGGCAAGGCACGTTGACTCGGTGACACGCGGGAGGCCTCACTAGCAATCCGCGTACCCGCGATTGTACGGCCTGTATGCGTTCTCGTGCGCGTGGACGGTCTGGATCCGTTCCCTCTTCAAGCGCGATCGAACGGTCGCGACTAAACGCAATAAACAGTTCAAATTCGTTCTATTTTTAACTACGATCGTACGGTCCAGATAAAATCGCGATGAACAGTCGAGATTCATTTTCTCTTTAAATGCGATCGAACGGTCGATATCAAATGCGATAAACGGTCCAGATTTAAGGGAGACGGGTATAAATATCTCACTTCACATTGAACCCAAACCCTAGCCGCCAATCCCCCGCTAGAGAAGAAGAACCATTCGCCGGAGAAGGGAGCCGACCGCCGCCGCGCCGGAGCCACCTCCGACTGTCAAAAAAGGTAAAAAAATTTATGTTCACTCAGAATTTGTTTTGAACAGTTCCATGGTCAAATCGGAACAAAAAGAACGGTGGATGAGCCGAAAGTTGCAGGTAAAGCCCGGTGGCATTGTCGCAGAAAAAACCAAAAATTACCTCCGATGAACCCCTTCCCGTTTCTCATTTCGTGCAATTTTTACATCATTGTATTCACCATTCTGTTTTCTATAGGTTGACCGAAGAAAAACACCCAGTCGTGAAGGTAAGCCGGTGGAGTCGTTGTATCGAAAAATTCTGCTGCCGGTAAGTTTTTATTTTTTGACTTTTTTCGGCCAATTGAGGCCCCTTAACGTGTTTTCTCACAGGGATGGATATAAAATCGGACGAAACTAGCCAAAACTGGTCGAATACAGCTAGTCCGAGGTATACCGCCACCGTGGGCGGTAATGTCATCGCGGATGGCAGTGCGGCCGTGCCGGAATTTCGAAATTGGGCGGAAAAGATTTTTAACACCGATTTTGGATTTTTTGGGGTATTTTTAGGTATGTGAAGCGTGTTTTTACCTCCGCATAAAAATTTAGAAAACTGAGGACTGCCAGTAGGCACAGTAGAAAGTTTAGTGTTTCGGATACCAATTCGGATAAGAATCTCTCACTTATTCCCTGTTATTGAATTGAAGTCTAATTATAAATAATACGTTATTTTGCGTAATTTAAAAAACTTCGATAATTAATTACATGTTACTAATGGAGCAAGAACCGGTTATTTATTACTATTTGTCATATTTTAACTTATTATTTGATTTTACAATTTTAAATGCATGATAATACACTGGAATTGGTAAAATGATTCAGTTGTATTTCCTTGATGCATGTATTGCTTGTCTTGCGTGATTTACAGTTAAATTGTGAAATTAAAAATTAAATGTAAACTAAAAATTGCTTGGTTAAGTGAATTAATGAAACAGTTGTCTTACTGGATATCCTGGAAGATGGTGGGCGGACCAAGTATATAGGAAACCCTACCGTGAACGTTACCTCAAACCAGACGGGGTATTGAGAAATAATATTTTTGGCACTCATATCGGACGGAGTATGGGGACGGCCCGATTCACCCTCATACCAGACTGGATATTGAGAGATGATACTTTTGACGCTCATACCAGACGGGCTATGGGGATGGCCGGTTAGTTGACAAGTTTTGTTATGGGTTCACACATGGTGGAATATCCCTATGGATCCCTAGGGATACCAGTAAGCAAATAAAAAAAAGAAAAATTATTGTTCTGCCTAATTGAATATGAGATTATGACGTTGTTTGTGTTATTGCCTTTATAGGTCGGTTTTGAAAATCTCGCTACAGTAAGTATGCAATAAATGATTTTATTTATGATAATGAATTTACTTAATTTAAGAGTTTCATTAGTTATTTTTATGAATTTTACTAACTTTTATTTCTGTATCAGTGAATAGTGTGATATTCTTACTATGCTAGTGTACCTCACCCTTTCATTAACCATTTCAGATCAAGAGGACCAAGATCAAGATCCTGATCAATAAAGGAGTTGTGAATAGTTCACCACCCGAACTCCCTTTAAAAGCTAGTGAATGTCATCCTAGGATACTTAATTGTTTACTTTTTATTTATTTCTTGATTTTTCACTTGTTTTTTAGAATAATTATTCCCGTAACCCTATTGGGTATTTTAAATTATTGTGTAAGGAATGTAAACCCTAACTCTATCATTTCGCTTCCGCATTCAATTTATAATTTATTTCCTTTTCAGTTCTAGATTGTTACATATTTCCTCTAAAAATTTAACTTGAAGCTTATATATAATCCAATATTTCCTTAATAATATGAAAAAATATTGATTTTTAGGTTTAATTATTATTTTTCCATATTAAAATGAATAAAAATCAAGAATGTAAATAATAAATTTCTTTTACAATTAATATTTTCAAATTAAAAAAATTTATTGGATTTAATTATGAGCAAAAGGATTAAGTTTGGTTTATAATAAAGTTTGTGTTGAATATGAAATAGAATTGGAATATAAATATTTATAACAATAATGGTATTTAGGGCCTTTTGTTATATCTACTATGCATATATAATGAGCAATAATTCGTTTTTTTTTTATTTTGATATAAAATTAATCTAAATTTACACAAAAATGATTAAACTTTAGTAGTTAAATAATGATTAATACTTAGTACTAAAAAAAAACATGTAATTATTGCAAGCTCATTTTCTCTAGTCTCTACTTTATTTTTTTTTAAATTAAAATTTTGCTTTTATTTTTTATATTTCAAAAATATTTTAATGATTAAATGAATAGAAATTTTTTTTACAAAAGTAAAAATTGAAAAATACTTTTAATAAGTTAAAACACAAAAATTATAATTTATAATTTTTAGAAAAATAATTTTAATTTTCAATAAAAAATTTATAATTAAAATCTCAAAATATTTTGTTTTAAATATTATAACAAAAAAGAAAAAAGAAAAAATTAAAATAAGCAATAAAAAACTCAAAAATAGAAAATTATAGAGGAGATATCACTCTCCCTTAAAATAATCATTTTGGGTTCAAAGTTTTCTCCTTTTTTTAATTCTTCACCTACTTCCCCTGCAATCTTCTTCTTACAGAACTGGAAATTTTCTCTTCCAGTCTTCAAATGGAGAATAAAAACAAATCTATATAGAAATGTGCATATTCTTGAGATTCACGCATTGATATGGCACTTTAACCGAGTTGATTTTGACAACTAAGCTGAGTCGATGACTCAGGACTCAACCCAAAAAAGAAAAAAAAAATTTGAAGCTTGTGTTTTGTTTTCTGTCATAGTCAGCTCATCCTCGCAATTAAGAAAGAAATTCAATAACTTCCACGGTTTGTTTTCTCTACTTTTCATTTTGCTTACCGGGTTCTGTTTTATTGGTGCTAAGAGATTCTTACGAAATCTGTTATAGACAGATTTTACAGGGTTTTTCAAGTTTGACCTTTTTAGTTTATGATCTTTTGGGGTTTTCATTATGCTGTTTTTGAATTCCTAACTATTTTTGCTATTTCTGTGTTACCCATTTCTCTCTTCTTCTCTCCTGTTAATTTCCTGCTCTATGTTTTTGAATTTAATGGCTCTGTATCAATCTCTAGGTTGTTGATCTGTACGTTCAACTTTTGTTTTAGGTGTTGCTTTCATGTGATTGCAAGGTACTGTTCTGCTGTTTTGCTTGATGGTACGCCCATGACATAGTCATTTGCTGAATTTACTTCATGTTGCCACTGTAGATATGTTGTCTAATTGATTAATTTTCACTTTTCCTTCATGTTTACCCTCTCGATCAGTTGTAAAACATCCAGTTCATGTTGTGCTGACAACTAGATGATTATTGCGGACGTTGAGCAATATGGGAACTGGGCTCTCTTCTACTGAAATGGGTGAGGAAACTAATGTTCAGTATGTTACTTTTGGTGATGTTTCTTCACCTAGGGCAGATGACTCAAAGAAGGTATCAGTTTTACCCCTCATTTTCCTCATCTTCTATGAAGTATCTGGAGGTCCTTTTGGGGTTGAGGACAGTGTTCAGGCAGCTGGGCCCCTTCTGGCCCTTGTTGGCTTCTTGGTCTTTCCATTCATTTGGAGTGTTCCTGAGGCTTTAATTACTGCTGAGATGGGCACCATGTTCCCTGAGAATGGTGGTTATGTGGTTTGGGTGTCCTCTGCTTTAGGGCCCTATTGGGGGTTTCAGCAAGGTTGGATGAAATGGCTTAGTGGTGTGATCGATAATGCTCTGTACCCAGTCCTGTTCCTGGACTACCTGAAGTCAGCTATCCCAGCTTTAGGTGGGGGTTTACCACGAATCATTGCAGTCTTGGCATTGACTGTAGTGCTTACTTACATGAACTACAGGGGTTTAACCATTGTAGGTAGGGTTGCTGTTCTTTTGGGGATTTTTTCAATCCTTCCTTTTGTGGTTATGGGACTTGTCGCAATTCCAAAGCTGAGGCCTTCGAGATGGTTAGTAGTGAACCTGCACAATGTGGACTGGAATTTGTATTTGAACACACTCTTTTGGAACCTAAACTATTGGGACTCAATTAGTACCCTTGCTGGGGAGGTGCATAACCCGAAGAAAACTCTGCCAAAAGCTCTCTTTTATGCTTTGATCTTGGTTGTTCTGGGGTATTTCTTCCCTCTTCTGATCGGTACTGGGGCTGTTCCCCTAGACCGGGAATTGTGGACTGATGGATATTTCTCAGATATTGCCAAATTACTAGGGGGAGTTTGGTTGAGATGGTGGATCCAGGGTGCTGCAGCCATGTCAAATATGGGGATGTTTGTGGCTGAAATGAGCAGTGACTCTTTCCAACTTCTGGGAATGGCCGAACGGGGGATGCTGCCAGAGTTCTTTGGCTGGAGGTCTCGTTATGGAACTCCTCTGGTTGGGATATTGTTCTCAGCTTCTGGCGTGGTTTTGCTGTCATGGCTAAGCTTTCAAGAGATTATAGCGGCAGAGAACTTCTTGTATTGTTTTGGAATGATATTGGAGTTTATAGCATTTGTTTTGTTGAGGATGAGATACCCAGCAGTTTCTAGACCTTACAAGATACCAGTGGGAACAGTTGGAGCAGTCCTTATGTGTGTTCCCCCAACCATATTGATCTGTATTGTGTTGGCTCTTTCATCACTCAAAGTTGCAGTTGTAAGCCTGGTTGCTGTGGTTATTGGTCTAGTAATGCAACCTTGTCTCAAGTTTGTTGAGAAAAAGAGATGGATTAAGTTCTCCATTAATGCTGAACTTCCAGATCTTCATGGTGCTAATCAGGGGGGGTGGTGATTCCTTAATATAATAACAATCATGGTTAAGAAAAGGTATCCAACCAGATGATCCTTCTATAACAATGCTGATTATCAAGACTTCTTACAATCAGCTAGCTGACCACAATTATGGACCTTGGAAGCTATTGGCAAACAACAAAGCAAGGCAGGTAGCTATGATATGTCATTAATAGCTGTTTATCATTGATGGTCTAAGAGTGGCGATAGATGGAAATGATGATTAGAAATGATAAGAAATAAGGTCTCTTGATTCTGCAAGGAAATCATCTTAGATTTTTACTTGCATTTCAAGGCTCTTGGGTGTGAAACTGTAGCTATGATTTAAATATATAAGGGAGATTGGCTACCTCACCTCCTTGATAGGCAATATTGTAGAAGTTATTTTTGCATCAAGTTCTCACTCTTCAGCAGAAACTGAGTAGCATATGGTGTTGAAGTAGTAAAGAACATATCAACATGGAATAGAATTGCATTGAACAAAAATAAAAATAATGAGTTTGCAGTCAATGACATTGAACATAGTAAACATATTTTATTTTGACAATATGTATGATGTATAATAATCTAAATATCCGTTCAATGCTTGAACTTCATTTATGTGTTTTTAAAAGTTATAAATTCAAATTTACATGGGTTTAAATTATGAAATTAAGCTAAACTTAATTAGTCAATAAGCTAAATAAGTAAAAATATAATAACTAAAATATAATTGGTTTAAATTAATTATGATGAACTAATAATCAAAGGTGCACTTAATTGGTCTGCTTATTGGTAGAATTTATTCAAACGAGGTTTGACTGTATACTAGAAGAGAAAAAAAAAAGCTTCCTTGTTCTTGAAGTTAAGTGTTTTATCCCATGGCCATGATTGTTTCCATCACAAGAAGTAAGAAAACTTAGTTTAGATCGGAATTATTTATATTAGTACGAGAGACATAATATTTTCTGTGCAAGATAGAATTACTTTTTGTTTGGCAGCTTTGCGATATTCATATTTTATGTAAGATAGTGCCAGTTTCTAACAAATTTTATTTTTGTTTTTTTTCTTTCTGTTGGATATATTTATATGGTTGGACTTAAGCCACTAAAACCAGTCAGGATGGTTTTATTAGCTAGTTGTAATGTAGTTAAGTCCTTTTTTTTTGCTTTTTTTCTTTTCTGAGAAGGAAAAGATGATTCAATAAAAGTCACCAAGTGGGTATGCCCCTATACACAATACATATCTATTTTACTGTGCTTTTTTCTTGTATATTGTGCCAACGGTTATTAAGGCCTAATGACTGAGTTTTCAAAGAAATGAGATATCAAAAACCAGAGAGGGTAGTATTTTCTTCTCTTATTGTTCAAACGAGAGAAAGTCGAAGGACAGATGCCATCCCCAAACCAGAGGAAAACGAAAAGTAGGTACTGTCCTGTACTCTGAATGAAACTTTGAACCAGGAAAGATGAGTTGCCATTCATTTGGAGTTTGGCTTTTAACTTTAACAAGGTCTATTGATTTTCTGTATTGATTGGTACACCTTTGGTTTTCTTAAAGGTAAAGTTGCTGATCTCATTACTTCATCAGACTCTATTTCTATCTTTTCTGGAAATTTCATAGCTGCTCTCAAATCTGTTGTTAATTGTTCTTCTTAATCATTTAATATGTTGCTTACTGCAAGTATGGAACTTGTATATTTTTCCAATGAGGCTGAACCAAAATTTCTTGTTCACTCGTTAACTTGGGTTGAGATCCATTCCTGGTTTCTTCAAATTCCGGCTTTTATAAGTTTCTCGTTTTTTATTTTCATCATTTGGATTCAAAGATGTGCTTCTTTTTCCCTTTTTGAGTGGCTTTTGATTTTTCTTAAATCTAAAGTGCTCTATCTTTGGTTTTTACAATAACAGTGTATAAACTTCTTTTGCACCAGCCACCAGAAGAGTAGATAGTCAATGTGGTACTTAAAACGTTCTTTAATTTTATGCCAATCTTTTTTTTTCTATGTTCAAACTTGATATTTTTCTAATTTTCTTTGCAGGATAAACGTGATCAGAAAGGTGAATTGGAAGGGACGACTATAAGCATTAAGGAATTTGATTATCTTTGCTGATATCAGGTGCCTTTTGCTACACACACAGTCCTGTTCTCGTATCATTCATAAATGGTCTATTCTGGTTTGTGCTCTGCATTTCAGGCACTCTTGGTTTTGAGAACATGGTGAAACTGTGACCGGTGAACCTGGTGACATACTTCAACACGGGTTATGTGTGTTCTCTTTGTCTTAACAGTAGTCCCATATAATCTTTATGTGACTTATATTCTTTTTTATTGAACTAATGGTTGATTTTTTTTATTTTTTTGAAACTTTGTGGAAGGTTCAATTCTGCTAAGTAGAACATTATAAATTGTGGCATTTGGTCTGGGCTGCCCAGGGAAGAATAAAGAACTTAACTAATTAGCTCCTCATTAATTTAATTGCTTACTTTCTGATGATATAATGTTTAGGTAGTAAGCTTTATTATAAGGTACTATATATGTTTCCTGGCATCAGTGGATCTTTAGATGCTCTTTTGTTATGTTTCTTGTCATGAAGTTTGCATGGGTTAATAAGGGAGAGGTGTTGGATGGAACATGAAGAAGCAGCACCAAAGAGAAATTACAGAACAGAGAGAACATGACCTAATTAGGGTTTGGGTCCTCTGGAAAATGGATTTTGTTTTGTGAGTTGAGAGGTGGGATGGAGGCCTAAAGATGGGGCAGGCTGCTGGGCTGGGTTTAGCTGGCACCACGCGGGCCTTTTTTTTTTTTTTTTTTTTTTTTTTTCCGGGTGCTACAATATATATCATAAGTTTTTCAAAAAGTAGAAAGAAAAATGAAATTAGGCAGGCCCACTTGGTGGTAGAGTCAAAATGTTAGATATCATCCACTTTCTCTAATAATTTCTCCTTTTTAAACAGAAAATAATTATTGTTGATAAAATAAATACTGTTTAGGTTAATGTCTTTTTGGTTGAGTTTTTCTTTACTTGTACAGTTCTACTATAAAAACAAATATATATATATATATATAGATGTATCTCATTAAACAATAAGAAATAAAAGTAATTAAAATTAAATTAAATTTATTATTAAATAGTTCTTATTATTTTAGAATTTATTATTAATTAACAAAATATAATATCATATTGTTTATTTAAAGTACAAATTAAAAATTATTTTGACTTAATTTGCTTCTTCTTCTTGTCTTTTGTTGCCGACAAGACACTCTTGAAAAATTCCTTGTTTTATTTTCAAGGGGCTTTCTTAAAAAAAAAATAATAATAATAATTTGGACAATAAAACATTAATTATGTTGAATATTTAATTAAAATTATTAACTTGATGTAAAGATTAAATTGATTTCCACCAAAAAAATGGGATGTTCTCATTTTAGATGTGAAATATGTTAATTTGATTAGAATTTGATTTCATATATGTAAATCAAAGTTACTGGGGCAATATTTAAAATTTTATTTCACATGTCCGACTCAAAATTTTGTAATATTTTTATGAATAGTACTTAAAGATTTATTATTTTAAAAAATAAGATTTATCGTAAAAAAATAAAATAAAATAAAAATTTCTACTGAACTACTTGATGATTAGTGAAAGAGTTTTTTCAAAATCAGTCACACAGACTAATTTTCATAGCTACGTAGAGTTTGTACATAATATTGAATCATTCCAAAATACCAAAAAATTGAGATAAAATGAATGTGTATAAAAAAAATTATTGAATTTCAAGATTTTAAGTTTTTATATCAACTATGCATCGCGATCTATCACTTAATTTATTAATAGAATCAATGACTTATGTTGAGAATCAAAAGTAATTGATTTTAATATTTTTTTTTTTAAAAAAAATTAGGGTTGTTTAGCTTAAAGTTTCAAATATGAAAAATCAAAATTCACCCATCTTAATATATAATTAAACCAGTGTTATCATGCCGCGATTGTAGTGGGTGTATGCGCGTAGTAGGCAATAAGCTTTGTTTTTTATGGAAACTTGATAAAGAAAGAATTATAAACATTTTAGATTTTTAGTATTAGGATTAAACTATATTATTTAATTAAAAGTTAAAACCAGTAGGTAGGTTCTGAAATCATACATATACATATATATATATATATATATTTGAACTAATTTAATATTTCAGAATTTATTTTAAAAAATAATGATAAATAATAATTAATTAATATATAGTCGTAATAAAATCTTGTTAGTTTCAACTTCTAACATGATGAAATGATAACAAACGGTATCCGACTGATATATTTTATATAAATTTTAAAAATTACCAAATCGATAGTATGTGGCGGATAAATAACTATTTTTATTAAAATTAAATTAATATAATAATATAAATAATAATTATTTATTTTATTAAATATAAAAATTTAATTTAATTATGTATAATAATTATTTATTTAAATACAAATTTAATTTAATTTATATATTTTTATTACATATTTCTTATATATTATTTATTATTACAAATAATAAAATAGAAATAAATTATTAATTTAACTGAAAATACAATCATACCATTTTTTTATCCAAATAAAGCAACTGCCATTAATGCATATAAATATACAATCATTTAAATATAATTTTTTTTTTTTTAACATTCTCATCTTGTATTATTTTCATCAAATCACTGTTATTGTCATACATTAATTATCAATCACTAAAATTTATCAAAACAAATTTTAAAAGGTATTAATTCTATTAAACCAAAAAGTAAAATAGATACTTGAATTAATTTCAGAATTAATTTTTTTTTTAAAAAAAGTATTATTTTTACTAAATCAGTATATTAATAAAATTGGAATCTGGAAAGTAACTTTGATTGATAATTTTGTAAAGTTTTAATTAGGATGTGGCACAAATGATAAACCTCTTTCTTACTATTAGCCGGTGGAACTCTCCTTTCTTTTAATTATGTACATAACTCAAAATTCTTATTTACTTATGTTATAATTGACTATAAATTTTTAAATTATTTAAAATCAAGAAATTAATACATTATAACAACTAATATTAAAAGATGTGTAATTGGAAAACATCATGAACTCTAATTTCTTCTATATATATATATATATTTTTTTTTTTTTCTTTCTTTCTTCAATATTCATTTGCAAGGTTATTTTCTTCTAGTGCAAATAAGAGCTCCAAGAAAAAAAAAAAAAAAAAAAAAACAATAGAGAAAGGAGCAACCTGAGTGCCCCAACAAAATAGTTTTGAGCTTAATTCTTAATAGATTTATTAGGAATTAAGTTTATTAAAAGTATTGTTTCTACCTAAATAATTAACAACGCAAGGGGGGGTTTGTTCTACCTAATCCAAGGAAAAAGAAAGGTATCTCCCGTTGCTTATGAAGAAGACCTTCTTCCCTTTCTTTTTTTTTTAATTTATTTTTCTGGTTATAGGTTTCAAATCTTCGTCTAGTACTATGTTGATATGGTAAGATGTAAATCGTCCTCTCTAAATACTCACCCTTTATTCTAACAATGTGTTTTATGATATTGTAAATCTAATCACTACTAGTACAAATTTTTACCACCATTGAAAGATCTTAAACAACAACATATCCTATCATCAACTATAATCATTTAAGTAATATAATTATGATACATGATATATATATATATATATATATATATATATATATATATATTCCAGACACCCATAAAAGATAGATGACTTGAGAAAAAAAAAAGAACAAAGCTCAAATTTATACTGAAGAAGTCGACATGTTTTATTTTACTTGAAATACAATTATAATCGTAGTATCTCAATTTGTGTGCTTGGTGTGTAGCAGCCCCGGTAATTCAAAAAATAAAAATTATA